TGTGCACAACTCTTATCGCTCTCTTCTGTAATATGTACAATGGTTGAAGTGAACTCCTGTAAGTGTTTCCCCAGTTTTCAACGCCATACTCCAAATATGGCAAAATCAATGAAGAATACAAAATGCGCAATGCTTTAACGTCCAGCATATATCTAACCCTTGCCAATATCGATATATTTTTAGCTATTTTATGCTGAACATATCTGATATGAGATTTCCAGGATAATCTGTCGTCAACCATGACACCCAGAAATTTGATTTCATATACTCGTTCAATGTTAGCACCCCCAATTCTCAATTGAAGTTCATTATGTGGTCTACGGTTCCCAAATACCATATATTTAGTTTTCTCCAAATATTTCTCCAAATATTAGCTTCTCTCCACTGGCTCCCTGTAAAATCCTTCTCCTAACATACAAAGCCCTTAATGACAAGGCTCCATCGTATCTTAAAGACCTCGTAGAGCCTTATCATCCTAACGGAGCACTTCGCTCTCAGAGTGCAGGTTTACTTGTGGTTCCTAGAGTCCACAGAAGCAGAATGGGAGGCAGAGCCTTTAGCTATCAAGCTCCTCTCCTATGGAACCAACTCCCAGTCTCAGTTCAGGAGGCAGACACCCTCTCTACCTTTAAGATTAGACTTAAGACGTTCCTTTTTGATAAAGCTTATAGTTAGGGCTGGATCAGGTGACCCTGAACCTTCCCTTAGTTATGCTGTTATAGGCCCAGGCTGCTGGGGAGCCCCATGATGCTCAGAGTTTCTCCTCTCTCCTCTCCCCTCTCCTCTCCTTTCCTCTCTCTTCTATATGCCACCATTACACATCACTAACTGTGTGTCTCCTCTCTCCCGTAGTGTGTCCTCTCTCTCTCCCTGTACCTTTCCCTGGCTCTGGAGCTCTATGTTTCTGATCGGCAGTCACTGGCCACATCAACCTGACCAGTGTTTGATTGTTTGTTTTTGTGTTTGTTATGTCTTGTTGCTTTTCTTCTTTTCTCTGTCCTCTATCCACTCACCCCAACCGGTCGAGGCAGAAGGCCACCCATCAAGAGTGGGGTTTCTCTGAGGTTTCTTCTGTTAAAGGGAGTTTTTCTTCCCCACTGTCGCCAAGTGCTGCTCAAAGGGGGATTTGTTGGGTTTTTCTCTATAATAATAATAATATTATTAGTAAGGTCTAGACTTTCCTGAGACTTTCGTTGTGATTTGGCGCTATGCAAATAAAATTGAATTGAATTGAATCTTTTGCGTAGTGTACCATAGCACTGACTGAATCACCCAGCTTAACTCTAATAATGTGTGGGATCAGCATGTGGGCAGCTCTCAGCTTAGTGCTTCCCTCTGATCTCACCTGCACTGTGTGTGTTTAAGTCCTGCTCACTCCCTAGAGATTATGGTTGATCCTGTGTTTGACCACACACAAACACACACAGACAGAAAATCAGCAGCAAGTGACTGACTGAACCTATCCTGGTTGTTTGACTGTGCCTTTCTTCATTTATTTCTTCATTTTCTTCATTTTTCTTCAAATGAGTCACTTTATGATTGTTTTACCCACAAATGAGTCACTTTATGATTGTTTTACAGTGAAATATGTCTGGCCACCTAAAGTACAAGATAAATATTTGTAGAAATTGTAGTGATGAGACAAGCTATGGACGGTGACGGTGTGTTGTCACATTAAAGTGTCTGATTGTAGTTTCCTCTTGTCTGTGTTGGCAGGTTTGGATCCCTCTCCTTCTACCTCAGCAGCACCTGTCACAGGAAAACCTCCTGCTAAGAGACCTGCAGCTCCACCCCTTCAGTCTTCCTACTCCTCTTCCTCCTCCAGGCGGCTGAAGCGACACACAGAAGAGGAGCAGGACCCAACCTGTGCAGCCGCCACACTGCGCATCCTCAGGCAGAACCTCCTTGTGCCTTCAGAATCCAGGTGACAAGTCCCTCCCCCTTCACACACGTTCTTCGTCCTGTCAGATTAAGTAGTTATCACCAGTGCCGTTATAATTTAATTTGAATTGCAATCTACAGTTGCACTTAAAATGCATTATGAACTGCACTGATGTGTTACTGAAACTAGCAGAGCTGTACAACATATACAAAAATAATGCAGGGATTATTTTTGCAAATGATTGAAATTGTTATATATTGTGCATTTAAAAGAACCTTTTTTTCATTTAAGAAATGTTAAGGCATATGTTAGCTATTGAAGGGATGTTGTTCTAATTTCGTTGCACCATGTGGGTTTTATAAATTTGCCAGTATAATAACATTAACCCCGAAGCCTAGAAATATTAATGAACCCTTTCTTAGGGAAGATATGCAGGTATTGCTGTAGTGTATAGCCAGTAGAAATGTACATACTCCACCACTGAGCAGCACAGTATAATCTTTCCTTGCTGACCTTACAGTATTTTAAGGAATTGCTTCAGTGGTACCTTAAAACCATAGTAGTAATAAAATTAGAGATTACCCCAGCTACAAAATTGTATTTGTAGTTTATATTCATTTTTGGGCCAAGTGAGTCAAGCATGAAGGTAGGACTACATGGTTTTATATAAATAGGTATAATGATAAAATTAGATTATGTTCAACAGGTATGGTTAAGTCTACCTTAAAGATGCTCATAATTTTAAATCAATTTAAAGCCTAAATAGTTTATGTTGGACATTAGCCATGGCCCGTGTCCACAGTAAGTTACCATTTTGCCCCCATATACCCACAGTAAGTGGTCCACTGTGGCCACAAAGCTTTATCAGATCTCTGTTGGGAATGAGACCTCGTGACTCAGTGAGATTACTGGTTAAATACATCCCAATTCATTTGCACCTTTTGGTTCAACATTCTACGAAAACAGTGAACAGTAAGGTTGCTTGTCTCCGGTTTGCTGCTGTTATGTTGGGGATGCTGAAGTACAGGTTTACTAAGCCTAATCAAACTGCTAACGCAGTCGCTACAGAAGAACGACAAACACAAAAGACTGACTATGAGAAATGGATGAAATGAAACTATGAAATAGAATGAATGATGAAAATGTAGGAGTGAATGGAAGCAGGAGTGTAAGTGGCTAGAATATAGCACATCTAGTGATGTAATGTAGGCCTGCTGTGGTGTACGCACAACTAACGCAGGGACAATGCAGGGAGAGAGGGGGCGAGTGTGTATCAGACGCAGAAAAGGAATGCAAGGAGGTGTGCGAAAAAGATGAACTGAGAGACTGAGAGGATATGTACCATATGTGTTTAAAGAACTTGTTTTCTTTTTATGTAATTATAGAAATCTATTCATTCTGCTCTGTATTAAGGTAAGGAAGGCTGTAGTAAGTTGCCTTAAATTGCCTTTTCTGCACTGTTTTGCATACATCTACATTTGGGCCACCACATTTAGGGGCTTGGTGGCCCGTGGGACCAGTGCCTAAATTTGTTAGCATCTATCCCTGATTGAGATTTTTATGATGAATCTCAAATTGATCATGGGGCCCCCATGCTGTGGCCTCTGACAGTGGGCCTCACAGTCCTAACCCCTAATGACCCGGCTAATTAGGTCAGTAGTTTGGCCCTAGAAACTAGTGCTGTTCAGTCACAGCAGTCAATGTAATCGTTTCTATTTTTAAATTTTTTAAAACATTAAAAAGCTCCATTTGATTACACATACCCTCTCAGTCCTTGTTCTGTCCTCCAGCTGGTGCTGCAGGCAGCACAGAGTCTGCCCCTGTTGACCACTATGCTGAACTTGTTTCTGCAGCTCTCTCCTCACAAATCTTTTCTCCAGCAGTAGCAGCTCTTCAGGTCCCAGTTCATCTCAGTCCACTTCAGAACAGAAGCCTGTTGATGCTCCTGTGGTTCCATTTGGTTTGGACCTGTACTACTGGGGCCAGGAGCAGCCCAGCGCTGGCAAGATCATCAAGTAATAAACACACACACGGATGTTATCACTGATAGACACAAGGGAAGCATGCACATAACTGTACACTTGATTGAGGTGTAGTGTGTGTTTCATTATTATTAGAAGAAACAAAACTATAACACTAGAATGAATCATCTGTAAATGAATCCATGACTTTGATTTTTCAGAGCTTTGGTACAGTGTGTGGGTGGATGTCAGTGTTTCAGTGCAAGAAATGTACTGTCTGCAGTGAAACATTTGGTTCCAGCCTGCAGTACAACAGTGTGAAAGTTGTGTGGTTTCCCTTTTGCAGAGCGGCCTCTCAGCATCAATTCTGGGTTCCCGTCGAGGTGGAGGAGGAGGTGGACAATGAGGAGATGCTGGCAGAGAGCAGGAGCAGGTACATCTCCTTCCCTGGATGCTTCACTCCTGTCAGCCATTACTGTAGAGCTCCACTGGGCAATGGAAAGCTGTGTCAGAGACAGGACCGGCTCAAGGTAACAGGCCGAGCACCGAGTGATTCTACACACATTTAGATCTGTTTCTGTGTCCTGGTGTTTGTGTGTTTGAGCTGGGACTGTGCTTCCACCAGTGTCCTTTCCATGGCCGGATCATTCCTCGTGACCAGGAGGGTCGACCCTGCAGGCAGGAGGACCAGCTGAGGGAGAAGCAGGAGGAGAGGAGGAAGAGGGAAGAGGAGCAGCCTGGTGAGGAGTGACACAGACGTACACTAAACATTACTGACCTGTGAAACATCTTGCTCACCTCATTTAAGACGCAGAAAGCAAACGGTAAGCTGTGTCCACAGTTGGCATGGCTCAGCCTGCTTTAAAAGTAACGTCACTAGTCTGGAGCTCACTTGTACATAATCTTGTCAAATTATGGGCGAGGCTCAAAATGCCCATTTTCTTAGAGCTCTAGGATTGCTTTAAATTCCAAGACAAAATTCAAAACCAATCCAACAGAGCCAAGGTGCTGAAAAACATGTGGCACGCTCAGCTACATTCAGAAGCACGTGGAAACATCACGTGATGCAAATAGTGCATTTGGTTTGAATTTTGACCAAGCACTATCAGCCTAGCTAATAATTTATTACAGAGTAGCATCTTCACTGTGTGTGAAGGACTTTTTGAGAGAATCAGAACTGCTCAGAAGAATTATTATTCAATATCACTCTTGCCAGGCACTTTATCAGGTACACCTGTACAGTTGTATGCAATTCACTGCAACACTTCCGCCTTAACATCTGTGTTTATGAAGCTCAAAAATGTTTCAGCTTTTGGTGAAATTGTCGGAAATGTATAAACTCAATGAGGTCACAGTTAAAGGTGGGGTTGTACTGGACTACATTTTATTCAGAGGTGTGTCTATAATTTTGTCCTCCCCAGTTACTTACACGAGAGGGTCAGAATATTAGGAACACCTCTGAATATGTGAGTAAAGTGACTTGGCTGTGGAGATTAGGTTTGATGATATATTTTGCTTCCTATGCACCAGTAATAATGTCCATTACGGCTCAGTGTGTCCAGTCACTGCACTGAGAGGAAACAGTAATAGTTTGTAACAGAAAATCACAGACTGTGTGGTGCACATTCTCATTGTCTGACAGAATGTGTGTTTGATTGTTGTGTGAGTGAGAGTGGGTCTGCAGGATGTCCACCAGCCGCCTGCAGGGTCTTGTTAACCAACAGCTCTGTGTGTGTGTTTGTGTGTGTGGCCATGGCATGCAGTCCACTGAGATGTGAAATAGCATCTTTTGTTACCAACTACGCTATTGATCCACGAGTCAATCTCACACCTAGACACACATGCACACACAAATCAATCTCACCGTAGGGGGGCAGTGGCCTGGATGAGTTGATGGACCATTGGCCCCAGCTCTGTCTACCTATTCAGTCACACATGTACACACCTACACAGGCACAGATTTACAGTGAGGTTAAACAGCCAGTGAGGGGCATTGCAAAGGTCAGCAGAGACCAGTTTAAAGGCAAAAAGCAAGAAAAAAGTTTGCACACTGTGTTAAGCTCCCAATAATTTAATTCAATAGTTGCAGCAACGTTTCGATCGATACAAGATCTTCATCAGGCATTGTCAAACAGGCCTCACGCTGATAGACACATTTTTATGTGCACTTGTTTAGACGCCACTCAGGTGTTTTCAGTCTGACAAATTTGAAGACAACCTGCTTCTAAAAGGAATCAATCAGGACAGAACTAAAACACACCGCCTGAAAACTCCCCACCAAGGAAACAAAAGACATCAACATGGGAGGAGCAATCAAAAAGGCAAATTCAATATAAAAAGAAATATCACAAAAATATCAATCACTCAAAACAAGACATGAAAAAGGTAGAAAAATCCTATTTACAAACTTGTTATTCCATAGTTCACCTTGGACAATGGTTTGCCAAAACATTAATAGTATGCCACATACTAACCATACTACAAAAGTGGTTTTAGATCAGACTCCCCTTCTTATATAACAAGTTGAAATGAACAGCCATAGGATCCTGTTGCTCATTAGTTCATATGCTGCTTGTGTTCTGAAATACGAGCTTTAAAGGGTAAATTGTCTTATACTTGTATAGCACTCTTCTATGCATCGCAGCACACTCAAAGCACATTCACACTAGTTGACCATTTACCCATTGGCACACTCCCCAGCACTCACACATTCAAGCACCGGTGTCATCACCAGGAGCAACTGGGGATTCAGTGTCTTGCTCAAGGACACTTGAGCAAGCTGGGAAACAAACTGCTAATCCTCCAGTTAGGAGACGATCCTGAGCCACAGCCACCCCCAAAGGCAACGTGTGGTTTTTCCAATACAGGCCAAGCCACAAGGATGTTTAATCATATAAATAACATTCTTTATTTTGCAAGTAATGATGCCTGTTACATTATAGAGTGCAGATGAATGAAGGAGTTGCACTTGTGAGTAAAGTTGCATTGTGCACATTGCCAACACTTATATTTGCCTTTAGGGATGGCTGATAAAAAGTTAATAGGTCCCTCACATGGACGCTCACCTCTGACTAAAAGATGTTGAATGTTTAGAGGACACTTATAAACAATGGAGGATCTTGAAAAACGGATTTAAGATTGGGATTGGAGTTCAAAATGTGCCAGTGTTGTTGAACAAACTCTTTAGCCAAAGGAGAAAATTGTATTTTTTGAATCAGGCCTTCTATTACACTCACTTTGACCAACCCTCTCAAACCTTTTTACTGCACTTTCAGGCCAGCTTTCTTTATATGCTCTCTCCCTAAACGTCTGAACTTACAATACAGAAAAGTTGTTTAGGGTGTATCATTTACTTTAAATTCTTGCACTGACATCTTTTATTGATCTATGTTGGTGAGGAACTATCGGTAGAACCTACCACCTCCCTCACAGCTGTCTCTCTGTCATAGCGTGCAGCTGCTTGATTGATTAAAAAGATGAAGTGAAACTCTTCCAGTTTGCCCAGGTTCATTGTTAAATACAGGTTGGTGACTGGGAAGCTGGTGATGGATCCTGTGCTTGTCACTGTACTAATTAGTTGCACTAGTCTTTCTTGCCAGTCATCTTATTCCTCCTGTCCAAGCAGGAACTCAGACATCATGGAAATACACCTGTGAAGCTCCATACACATGATACTGTATGTGAAGAAACACTTAAGCATCTCCTGTGCTGTTCTAAATACCAGTATAGCAGTACCCATAATGCTTTGCATTGTCTTCTGTTCAGCATTCACTGTATGCAGTGTGTTAACACACATTTACTTTCACTTACTAGGAACCTTCTCTAGACCTCCATGATAAAAGTGTGGTGAGGCATAGATCAGGACAAGGGTATGAAACCATTTCTAAAGTTCTGAGTGTTCCCAGGAGAGCAGTGGCCTCCATCACTGTGAAACAGACGAGGTCTGACACCACCAGGACATTTGCTAGAGTCGGCCATCTGGTCAATCTGAGTAACCAGACAAGAGGGGTCAGGGAGGTGACCATGAACCCAGTGGTCACTGTGGTGAACACCAGACACTGCTTTTCACCTGCTAACTCCATCCCTATGGTGAATGATGATGGTGGCAGCATCACTTTGTATATTTTTACCTGATACTTTGATTAAACCACAGGTGTTTCAGCTGGAAGCAGATGGAGTGAGTGTTGTCATTGCTGTGCATCTACCTAATGTTAACCAAGTGTTTATGTGAGAGCGAGTCTGCTTTCGGGCCTTACTGTGAACCTGTGAAGGTTTGGCTCCATTCAGCTGACTGAGTGACAGATGTGAGGAGTTGATGCTCCGCCACACTGGGCTCTGCTGGACTCACACTCTCTCTCTCGCTCACTCACAGGGTCCCTGTGCTTAGTGATGCAGAGCTGAGAGACATCTGAATGAACCAAAGACCCCAGACGCCTCAGTGTGTGTGTGTGTGTGTGTGTGTGTGTGTGTGTGTGTGTGGCCTGGCCCCTGCCCTGAAACACACAAACACACACACAGACCCCAGCTGGAAAGGCTAAGAGGTGTTGACAGAGAAAAGAGCCCTGCTGCAACACTGATTACATTCACAGGATTCCCTCCCTCCACCCCCCTTCTGTCCTTTCCTCCGTTCTTTGTTTACTTTCTCTTTTCTTCTCTTTCTTTCATCCCCACTTTTATTTTCGTCTCTTCCTCAAACTCCTGAGATCACAGAAACAGTATAATAGAGGACACACACCTTTGGCACACACACACACACACACACACACACACACACACACACACACACACACACACACACACAATGTAAATGCAGCTGGTCCTCCTTTAGCTATAATGATTCTCCAAAAGACACCAGCTGCTTTTCAATTACTGCTCGTGTGTGTCTGTGCTTATGAGGGATGGTTGAAGGTCCAGGAAGACCCAGGGTCAGAGCGGCTGATTAATAAACCCCCACCTAGCCACATTCACACACACACACACTGAGCTGGGGTCAGTGTTTTGACAGAGCACTGAGCCCGACTTCAATCCCATCACTATCACAGTGTAATTACTTTGCATAACTGCAGGTTTATCTCTAATTCCACTGCAGTACGTCATTAACTAGGAGCGTCTCATCGTTTAGACCGTCATTACTCTGTAATACAGGCGCTTTTACTGATCGCCCAGAATTATGACTTTACACTTTGCATTAACACCAGAGCTGAATCCAGATTCAGTAGTAAACAGTGTGCCACATAGGCTGATCTCAGTTCAGTTCTAGTGTTAATGAAAAGTGTAAAGTCATAATTCTGGGTGATAACAGTAAGGCCTGACACACTGTTTGCTACGTCTGGTGTGTACAACTGGGCAGGTTGAGCTCAGTTATGCTGTAATGACTTCATTACACTTTTCAGTCAAAGGACTTTTTGATAAAGTTTCAGTCTTTAATTGCAGCAGATGAAGAGTCGTTTAAATGAAGAACAGAATTCCACAGAAGGTTCTGGGTTGAACCCCGGCAGCCGACCGAGGCCTCTCCGTGTGGAGTGTGCATGTTCTGCCTTTGTGGGTTCCTCTCACTGTGCACAAACATGCAGTTTAGGTTCGTAGTAAATTGCATGTAGGGTGTGGCTGAGTGTGTGTGGTTGTCTGCCTCTGTGATAGACGTCCTGTCTATCTGCTAATTTTAGCACCTGGTTTAGATTTAATATGGTGTAAGTTTTTGACAAAAATGTCCTTTGCGTTCATTTATTTATTTTTTTTATCATAATGCTAGTTTTTTGAATCATGTTAATTTCAGTCCAGTTCTTTTTTTGGCCTCATTTTCTTGCAGCTGTTCCCATCGTTGGTGTGAAATTAAAACACTGATGCAAAAATAATCCTTTAACAAACATCTAGAGGAAGATGAATATGATGGAAAACCTGCTGTAAACCTGCACTCGTTCTTACTGATGGCGTATAAACACAAAAGAGAATGGCCTGCAAGTTATTAGAATAATGTTACATCAGCTTAACTTGATATAAATGTCAGTGTGCAGGCCTGTGTGTTCTCAGCGTTTGTCCGGGCTGGGGATTGTTTTATTTCTTCTCAACAAAGAACAGCTAAAGTTAGCGACATTACTGGAAGAGACAATGTTACAGAAAAGAAAGATGCTGCTCATTAATGCAACAAGTGATGCACAACCTAAAGCAGGTGAACGGGGGGTTGAAGCACCACCCCTGTGCTTCGTGGACAACCCACTCTATCACATTGTAGTACATTGTAGTACATTTTGTTATGGTTTTCATTTTCAAAGATACTTTTCATTTTGGGAAAAAGTTGTCGATGTGTAACAAATAGGTTCCTTGATACAGAACCTAAATTTCCATTGGGATTAATAAAGTATCTGTCTATCAAAAAAAGTATTTCTCTAGCTAGCACGCTAGATAGCTGTCTGTCTAAATGATCTTTCTGTTGTAGACTGGCGTGATGCAGAGCTGATGCGAGACATTGAGGTGGCAACAGGAGAAAACCTGGGTTCTGACAGAGTGGGTAAAAAAGGCAAAGGGAAGAAGAAGAAGAAGTATCCCAACCTCAGCGATCTGAAGCAGAGCGCCAACACGGCCCGTTCCAGGCTGGAGAAAAAGGTCTTCAGCAAGTATGTACAGTAGTGCCCAATAAATCTTCCACACTTAATGTTTCTTTGCCCAAAACGTGTTCACATATCTATTTGTTTGCATACTCAGATCTGGTCACAGTGTTAGTAGAAGCGAGGTAAGCAGAATGGAAACGCTCACCAGGTGTAAATGCAGAAGCCCAGTGATGTCATTACCCAGGCAGTGTATCACGTTCAAGTCAGGTGTAAATGGGTTCAGAAACAGTGACTGAACTGAGGGGTTTTAGCCTCCTCTCCAGCTTAGTGTGTCCAGTAACACACACAACAGCACAGACCAAGTCCGCTGCTGTACCTCTATGATCCCTCACAATGTATAGCACGTTTGTTTTTGTGTGTAAACATGTTACTGTTTATTTGTAATGTGCTCCTTCTTCTCCCTCCCCCCATTTGCCATCCTCCTGTCCTCTGCTCTGTCCCTCCTACCAGGAGCGCCATGCGCAGAGTCGCTCAGGTGATGAGTAAAGCTGACAGAAGAAAACATGAAAAGTTCTCCAACCAGTTCAACTATGCTCTCAACTGACCTGCAGCCACTTCAATGTGCCCTTTTTTCACTTGTTTGTTTAAAAATACTTTTGTACAGGATTTTAAATTATTCATGTGCAAAGTAAATGAATCTGATTATCAGATAAACATGACTGAGTTGGTCTTCTAAACACAGTTTTAACACTATTATGCAGTTGGAATGATCTCACTTGGATTTTTAGGAAAAATGAGTACTGGTTTAATATGAGGTCATTATCCAAATGTAGACACGTACCTCGGAATGAGTGGGTTCTACCTCTGCTGACCGTACATGTGCAGCTTCTGCCATTCTGACATGATGAATAATGATGACATTTCCTTTGGTCATTTGTCAGCCACATTTTTCACCTTTGTATTTGCCAAATCCAACTTTCATTCTGTACAACTGAGTTGTTTTGTCTAGTTGAGTGTCATTTATTTCTATATACTCTGTTTTGTGTGTTTTCTTTCTTTTTTGGGGGGGGGTAGGTAGACTTACGTGTGGTAAATGAACATCGTGCAGGTTAACAACATTTGCACCAGAAGTAAAGTGCAAGTCTCTCAGCCTGCTGCGGTTGTGTCCTTTGTGTCCTTGTCCTGTCCTCCACTTTAATGAGGGGAGTTCAAGGTTAATTTGGCACATAAACCAGCAGCACAGTATTGACTGTTCCACTGCTTAGAAAATAATTGAGAATGAAAGTGATCATTAGTCAATAAATTCAGGTTCATATTTGCATTTTAATGTGGTAAAACTCAAAGCTTAGCACTACATTGCTTGTTCACCTCAAATACAAGCAACAGGAACTTGGTCTCTGCACTTAAAGAAGCAGTTTAGTGTGGCAGTTAGTCATACTTAAGACTTTAAAACAACAATGGCTGAAATGGAAGCATCTTGTATGGACTGGTAGTCCCTGGATCAAATATTCCTGCCCAGCAAACACCAAAGTCTTTTAAACTTCATGCCTGCAGTCTGAAAAGTGTTTTCCTATAAATTTGCTATCTCAAACCCCAAGATCAGATTACTTGACCTCACAAAGGTCCTGCAGATCCACAGGAGACATATATGACTGTTTGTACAGGCTGAGCAAATCCATCTTTACCCTTTAATGAATGCATTATCACATTGGGTAATTAAAGAAATGCACACTATGGTAAAAATGTGGGTTACCATGCTTTTGCAGGCTGAAATGCAATGTTACACTTACCTGTGTGGGGAATGTGTAAAGCATGCAAGCACCACTAGAGTTCATACTGAAGTTGTTCGCAGGGAAACATCAGCTCAGTGCCTAGAGATGAAAATGATTCCTCACAGGTTAGTGAGGAAGTGTTCTCATGGTACTTTTCACGGTTGTTGAAGAGAACAGAGAATTGGACAGCAGTATGAACATATGATTTTATATGAAATTTTACCAATGTGATGTACTGTTGTATGTGTATACTGCTGCAGTCGATAAAGGGGAAGTGTGAAAAAGAAGTCAGCCTACGAATCCCTACAACGGAGGAACTGCAGAGAAGAACCACTGAGTTTACTGAAAAGAAGGACGTTAAAATATAAAGGCTTCATGCATAAAGTAGAGAAAAGAAAAGCAAAGCAACAAGACACAACAAACAAACAAACACTGGGCAGGTTGATGTGAGTATCCAGGGAGAACCCACACAGGCACAGGGGAGAACATGCACGCTACGCACAGAAAGGCCCCGGGTTGGCCTGGCCTCGAACCCAGAAGCTTCGCCCCTAACATTCATTACAAATAGCTGAACAGCTGAACATGCGACACACCGAGCAAGAGAAAAAAGGAGAGGAAGAGGGAGAAGCCATTGTCCTCAACTATGCTACTAGCTTAGACATAAAGTAGCAAGTTAAATTTGGAAATTAACAAGATATTGCAACACAGCTGCTTAAGTAGTTCAGGTGTATGTTGTGACTCAAAATTAGCTGATGTTCAGATAAACCTAGATATCAGTAAGATTAATCCATAAACTAGTGATGGGTGGACTCTGAACCACTTCCATTTTGAAGCACTTGAAGCATTTGATTCAGCCATGCCAGCGAAGCACTGCTTCGGGGCTTGTACTAAAGAGGCCAAGTCATGTGATTGTTTCACATTGGTTCATGAAACTCTTCATATTTTGGCGGCTCACCAAAAGGTTGCCAATGGAACATACAACTGCTGATCTTGAGTCAGTTGATTCAGTTGACACTTATACTACATGAATGACCAAATAAGAGTTTGGGCTGATCCCCAGTCAGTGATTCCTGTTACCACATCTCACAAACACAACAAAAGTCCATGAACATGGTCAGATTTTGTGGGGTTTTGTGTAGGAGAGAGACAAACTTATCTGACATTTGGAGAGGTTGAATTGGATGATGGAGGGAGCTAGAAAAAGAACATGGTCACTTGTATGGGAGCATTTTGAGCTTTTGCAGCCAAGTTTAATCAAAAGTAACATTTGTAACGAACATCTGGCATTTCCTAACAGCACATCATCAATGTTAAGACACCTCCGTTCTAAGCATCCAGAGGATTTAATCGATGGGTTTACATCAGGGCAAAACCAGTCAGCACTCCCTCATCTACAGTACAGCCCCAGTCACAAGCATTCCCCATCAGAGGATGTAGGCCCACTTTCAACAGACACAATTTGATTGAAAATGTATACCCATTTTGAAGGTATATGAAAATAAATACCTTCTTATATATGACCCATATCTATAAAAAGAACATAAATAATATATACAAGCTTTATTGCTGTCACACAATTTATTTACACAGAGTGATATAGTGAAAATGACTCAAACACAGATAAAACTCTTCCACCATCAAAGTCCAGTCACAAAAGCATTTGCCACCACATATACATATACATATAAATTAATTTCACAAAATTAATAAAAATGTATATGTCTATGAAAAAGATCTGCCTTCAGAATCATTGAAATACCATGTTGGCGGTTTCTATTGGACAGTAGATGTCACTGGCATGGCTGAATCAAATGCTTCAAGACAACCATTTTCTGAAGCAATTGGTTCAGTTGGTACGAAGGTTTGGAAATCCTCAGTTCTGCCATCACTACTGTAAACAATCTGGTGGCAAGCACAACCCAGTGCAGGCACAATAAACAGGACGTGAATACGCTTACCCTGGGAGCAGGAAACCCCCTGCCAATGTGCCTCAAATTGTTGCCTTCAAACGATGTGTAGTTAGAAACTGGCTAGTGCTAATTAGGTGTACACCCACAAACCTCCAGCTGCATTTCCAAGGGCAGAGCCAGGGGGTGGCCAGAGGTGGCCACCCTCACAGTCTGATTAGCCACCCCGATGCCACCCCTGCCAGAGTCAAAATGTAATGCTTAACAGTATTAATTGATGAAAAATGAAAAACAGTGACAAGTTGTTGCCTTTAATAACATTTTTCTGGTACTTTATTATTGATATTGGTCAAATTAATTTTTATTTCATATCAGGCATGCAGCATGATATTGCATTGATTTCTTTGATTGTGTTGTTAATGAGTACTTGGCATGACCCAAGTGCAGTAGTAGCCATGTCCCAGGCCAGGAGTAAATATTCCGTGTGGTTTATTATTTCACAGAACTAGGGGTTTATTTTATTTTTCACATATATTTAAAATGTACCACCCTTTCCAAAAATATCTATATCCGCCCTGGCTCATTCTCCAGTTTGGGACATTTAACACCTAACAATGACGCAGGGCCTCACAGGCATCTGATTGGTCATCCATGTGCCAGCCTCCCTCTCTTGACAATGAAAATGGTACAACTGGCTTGTAATCATTCTTTAATCCTTTCAAGGGATTTCTAAGTCCAAACCAGTTTTAGATGACATGTCACAGTCCTGTACTATGTGTGTATTTCTGACTGGTTTAATGTGAAGAGCAGCATTTTGTCACGTTCTGTGATCAGTGCTTTTGATGGGCTATGCAGTTTCACTATGTGATCTAATAAGGGACACAGACCGTGGATGGAGTGTGGCAGTAGCCTTCTCTGCAACATTTTGTTGTAAGTTAGTGATTTGTCATTTTGTGTTACCCAGTGGTTGTTAATGCGACATCATGTTCTGTGCTGACATTTCTACAGATGTCTGCTTGGACTGCTGGTTGACTAAAACACATTTCTGAGGGTATGTACTGTACAGCACTTTGAACTGTGCCTGTGTTGGAAAGGTGCTGTACAAATATACTTACCTTCCCTATACTATAAGTGACGTTCAGTCTGATCATATAAGATTTTGTATATGTCTTTTGCATTTGTTGGGAATGTTGTTTATGCTAATTTATGTAATAATTTGCACTGACTGTTCATGGACTGCGTTAGCAGCACTAATGCCCTTTAGCACTATCGCTGCTGCACACTGCTACTGTATCTGACACTGGAAGTTTAGTCGAAGTGTATCAAAACCAAACCCAAATCAAAATGAGCTAAATCCAATCCAACAGAACTGAGAGTCTCTACTCTTTAACTTCCATCAGTTTTCATTAACAACCATGTGACCATGTTGAGGGTCACAGGATCAGAAGTCAGAGCACCCGGTGGGACCAAAGGTTGTTCATTTTAAAACAAATGCCATAATCTGTGCATTCATTTGCCAAAGTGAAGGAAATTTCCACTAAGGTTTCATATAGAGTTGGTGTCACAGATGTTCATTGGCCAACTGGACACTGACTGCAAATGGATGTGCCTTTCTCTGACTAACTGCTCTGCTGGAGTATACAAGGGTAGCACACAGTCGTGAGAGAGCGGTCAAAGAAAGGCAATCTCCAAGAACCCATGGCAATCAAGCAGCAGCTGGTTTTCAGTGTTTCACTGCCATTATTTTAATATCAAAGACGATATCATGTTGAGCTGACGGTTCAGTACATCCAAGGAGTTTATGGAAACTGTCAACAAATTCATTAAGTAATAGAAACAATCCAAATGAAATTGATCACAGCTGGAGTTACATAGTACTGACAATAGATCAAGCCATTCCTTAAGTCATAAATAAACATCCAATATTCATACAGACTTTTTTTTTTTAAAGAAAGAAATCAACTATTTGTCTATTACATAGTTTAAAACAGCATTCAGAATAGGGAGCTAGAACAGAGTTGTGCACAGTTTCTGGTAGATAGTCACATTTTATCAAAATAATCCATTGAAATTAAAGCCTTCAAATGTCAGTAGTAAAAAGGAGAGCAGAGCTGAACACTGGCAGTCTGTCTGCTGCTGCACTGCATTCAAACACTGAAACATTTCAGTCTCTCTGGGCTCAGTGTGTATTTGACGTATGTGTCAGGTGTGTTTTAGTCTACAGGTGTGTGCTGTAGAAGGCGGGGGCAGCGTAGCTCTGTGTCCCCAGCATGAAGGGGGACAGGACGTGGCTGGCGGTGAGGAAAGGCAGCTGGACCAGGCTGCCAGCGGGGGTGTGATGGTGGCTGGCATAGCCAGCGTGCATGGCCAGGTGCCCACTGACTGGAGGGGATGGGCTGAGAGGGCTGAGGCTCCCCAGTCCTCCGCCTGCGCCTCCCCCTGCGCCCCCCGTACCTCCTGCTCCTCCTGCACCGGTGGGGGCAGAGGTGTCAGCGCCAGGGTTCTGTTTCTTCCACTTGGTCCGACGGTTCTGGAACCAGATCTTGACCTGTGTCTCAGTGAGGGAGAGTGACAGGGCCAGGTTGAGGCGTTCACACACAGACAGGTAGCGCGTGGACTTGAACTTGTTCTCCAGTGCCACCAGCTGCTCATAGGTGAAGGCAGTCCGGGCTCTACGGGGCTTCCCTGACTTGGAGTCTGAGCCTGATCGCTTCCTCTTGGGCTTGGGCCCATTGGTCTGGGTATTAGTGATCTGTCCTGTAGGACCTCCTCCTGGGCTCTTGGTGTCTCTGGAGGAGTCTTGGTGGCTGTGCTGAGCCAGATCTCTGTCTCCATTACTGGGCAGAGCTGAGCTGCTCTCCTCACTGCTGTAGGGGCCTTCTGGAGCCTCTGAATCTGGGGTCCCAGATCTGTGGTAGTCATCCTCATCTGGATTTCTGTACACAAAGCCCTCCTCTGGAAACACACACACACACACACACAATAGACAATGTCAGATTACGGTTGTTTACATAATCAGAAACTGCCTGAAGCAAGTTTTAATGTAAATACCCTGACAAGCCAGTGTAGGCTGAGCAACAGCTCCTCCTGTGGCCACTGCACGCTACTACACATGGGCCTCGGCACCACAACTAAACAAATACCTCTGTGCAGCAAACACATTTTGAACTGTTCAGAAAGAGTGAGTCCTAGGACTGTGGACCCTCTTTCTCCCACTCATCCCACTCTGTGTTTCCTGATCATTTTGGCTTCTATCTTTATTTGATGCCTTGCCAGAGCTGAGAATATTCAGATTAGTGGTGTTTGGTTTCAGTTAGTTTAAAGGAAAATCTGTTTATAAATATTCACCATGAAAGAAAAATGACAACTGCTAACAAAGGTATTAAATCTAAAATTGGAAACAGAACTCATCAAAAAGGCCGTGCATCAAAATAAGGCTAAAAAAATTTAAGCACAGCTTTTATTGTATTACTGTACAATATGGTCAGTACGCATAAACCAATAAAGTATATTAAAAACACAACTATAAAGTTATACAAACAGTAAAAACGAGTCTGACAGTGTGGACAACAATCTGATTAGATCACTTCATTGCAGATTACTGACCCCTTTCAGAGGAACTAAGTCTGAGTTGTTATCATCCAAACATTTAGAGTAAATTTTTACGACTAGACTTTGACACAGGCCTCAAAAACCTTGAGGAGTCTCAAACTGCAGGAGACTCATCATTTCAGTTGGCATTGTGCTTCAGGGTTTTACAGACCTAATAATTCCCAAATAAATGAACAATGATTCAGTGTAGTGAAACTGGAATGTTGGGGCCCCTGGGCAGTCGCCCACTTTATCTGGTTAGTAATCGACCCTGGCTTTGTGTAAAAATTTGACTTAAAACTAAAGAAGTCCTAAAACTAGAGATAAAATCTATAAATACTCGAAAGTGCAGAAACGGTGCAACATAAAATAAGAACATTTAAAAATTGTAATAAAAATGTTCCATATTAAATCTTTGGCTTTCAATAAGCTTCTTTCCATCAATATTTCACCTGCTCTCTGAAAATCCACTGAACACAGGAAAAAACAAAAACAAAACAAAAAAACAAAAAACAAAAAAAAACACCGCCAGCTGGAAAATAGCATAAAATAAAAAACACATTCATAATTTATTGTAATTATATTATTATATTCATTATTCATTGATATTATTATTCCTTTTGAGGTTGCCTGCAAATTTTAACTCATAGTTTCAATGAAGAAGTGAAAATCTGATCATGAAATTTATAGAAAGTGTTTGTAAGTAAAAAACGAAACCTTTTTATTTCTTAGTCTGTATTTTTCTCTGACTGGCTCCCAGCCCTTTAGAAACACACACAAACACACATAACATTTGATTACTAACATTCACCTTCATTTTATGAATGTATGTATTGATTTATTTAGAATGACAATGATCTTGGGACCACAAAAAAATGTATAATGCAATTTCACAATGTGGGCCAAAACTCTTGGTGAAATTTTTATTAATTAATATTAATGAGAATATTTCATATACACTATAAAGCATTTTAATCAGAATGACCTGTCAAGACACACAAATCCCCTAAATTCGGGTTATTTAAAACAATGTTTATACATTTATTTTAGTGTATATCGCCCATTTATTTTTGACTCTTCTCTGTGATGTAGGGTTAGTAAAGAGTTTCAACATTTATTTGAAAGGACCAGTAAACAGGGGAGAGTTATCTTGTCCTAATAACTGATCAACATCATCTCCTTTTAGGAGTAAATCAAACAGGAAGCAGCTTTTGGGGCAATGTTAGGGAAAGTTTCAGGAGATTACAGTGAATGTTGGATTCCCCAAATGTGTAAGAATATTCTGGTCATTGTAAGTGATATTTGTATTTTTATTAGCCTACATAAAGGTATTTCTTTTCTAGAAAACAATCTGTATGGGCTAAACCAATTTGATTCAGTTATTGACATTTAGGTAGGCCCATGCTTGTGGTTATATTAAAACGGGGGTAAAATGTAAAACTGTATTTTTGTACTCAGAAAACGTGTAATGAAATCATCAAGTGCCTGAAAAATTAAATAAAATTAAACCCAAAGATTGAAACAAAGGAATTAAAAGTAAAAACGATGAGAAACAAAGAAAAAAAAAAAACCAAACAACAAACAAAAAAGAGGATAAGTTAAAATCGGGGTTTAAAGAAACGCGGGTGGGGGTGAGGGGGGGATCCGTCTATCACCAGTGTTAGAGGAAACGGAGGTGATTGGAGCTAATGGCTTTGAGTGGAACACACACACACACACACACACACACACACACACAGCTGGTAGAAACAGATATTCAATCAATAGGCCTACTACCGATCACACACACACGCGCGCACCTTTGCCAATTACCTGGTGCCTTTTTCTTTTTTAACCGAGCTTCAATTAAAGGTGTGTTTTCTTTTCTTTGGCAGAGAGCTGACATTCTTCCTTCAGTTTTTATTTCCATTTATGGTTTTCTAAAAAATGGCCACTGCGACTTATTAACACGCTTCTTTTCTAGAGGAATTAGATGTGCGTGTACACGACCACAGTTTTCCGTGGGACACCTCCATAAGTCAGGACCTAGACAACTGGGAAACCATCCAAAGAAACAGAGCCATCCACAGAAAACAGAAACAGTCTCCCAACTGATTGTTCCGTGGTTTTAAAAAAGTCCTCACGCCTAAAATCGGATATACATAAATCATTTTTTTAAAAATGACAAAATAGGCCTTCATCCCAAGATGAATCAAGATCGAAAGAAGACAAGCAAAATAAATAAATAAATAAATAATTTTTCTCACTGAGATTTAGTTGACTGAAGAATAAGTTTCCTCACAGTTAGAATAGGGTAAAATAGAGAATAAAAACTGAAAAATAAACAAACTGCTTTAGGGAAACGAACATTTATTTTAAAAGCTGAATAAAAGCAGATCAATAGGCTTAACGACGTTTCCACAAACGGAGCACTAAAGGTGTGACTGGCGGGAAAATAAACCACACTAAAAATAAAACAACTAACTAAGCTTAACAGGCTGATTAAAGAGTCTGGCCTTAAAGGTTAATTCCATGTAAACCCAGACTTACTGCTCTGGTACTCCTCGGCCCCGTAGCAGCCTTTGCTGGGCTCCAGGCTGGGCTCGCGCTCCGCCGCTCCCCCTCTCCGGTTCTCCGCTCCGTACGCGCTCAGCTCGCGCTCAACTCGGTGGCTCGCGTGCTGCTGTTGCTGGTGTCGCCGGCTGCTCGTGAACTTGTTGGGGTCCAGGATGTCCAGTACGGAAAAAGAGGTGGTCCGGTGCCCGTTGGGGCCCTGATAAACAACACACCGGGACTAGTCATTCTCTGTAGGCTGCACTTTATTACAACCAACTAGCAGCTCGCTTGTTATTGGAGCTTCCTGTATTTCTTCTTCGGCTCCAGCTAAGTGTGCTGCTCCGAGCAGGTGAGCCTCGCACGTGTCGACCTTCTGTTTGACATGTGCTTTAAGATCACACCCTAACGGAGGGCTAGAAGCATTTAAAATGAGCTAGTATTGTTGTTATGCATTTACAGTATTTACCACCACTGTGCAACAACAACAACAATAATATTAACAACAATGATAATAATTGGCTACATGAATATGTCATTAGCTGTTGCCCACAGTTGTAACTAGCGTTAACGTAATGAAACAAACTGTCCTCTGAAGACAGCACACACCACTGCCAATGAAACGGACAACTACATTTCCTATATCCAGCATGAAGCGGTCAATAGGGTATCAGGAGGCAAACGAATCAATCCCATTTTTATTTATACACGTGTAGTGCTGGAAAATACCGAGTGTAAACATAATCGAAGTAAACACTCTTTTATTCCTCCATGGAAATGAAGAAAAACGAACATTCCCGATTTTGTTATTGTTTTATGAAAGGATTAATGTAAGATTTTAATAAAATCCCCAACAACCCACTGCATCATTTGGACCCAGTAGTCTACGTGTACACCATATTTACGAAACGATATAGTTGTGTACACCGGATTTATTTCCTTAAGATTAATGTCAAGGCGAAAAGGTAGCCAAGTGTATTAGGCAGATAAAAGGTGCACGGTGGATCAGTGAGGCTGTCCCCTGCACTGTAGCCTGATTAGGATCATTCATTTATTAATGAGGCCAGTCTGGAGCATGTCGACAGGAATAATCCCACATTAATAATATTATAACTCGTTGTTTAAATAATCCCAGAGAGCATGTGGGGAAGACTGGGGCCTATTAACATCTGCTGATAAGAATAATCGCACAATACCATATGATCAAAGATGTGATTAGGAGGAATAATCCTTTATTTAGGATGCGGTAAAGGTCACACTAAACCTGGTTTTAATCTCCCTCTGGGTTGTGAATACGGGATTTTTCTCGGGAACTCTCGAGGCTCCGGTTTTTAAATGCTAGGTATTTTAAACTAATAATTTATCGAAATTTCGTTTATCTAGAAATTATTCGATTCAAAGGGAAATGACAGATTATATGATGTAATTCTGATTAACGGTGTAATTCCTAAACTGTAAAATTCGCATGTTTTCATTTGTTTTTTTTCGATTGAAACTGAATCTTTCAGAAGAGTTTGCGAAATGATATCTATTTTCCTCTGTGCTTTGATGGAAATAATAAAGTTTATTTTTTAACATTTTCCATCACACTGGCTTTGGTTATATTTTTTTTACTGCTATTTCTTAATTAAGGCCTAATCTGTCTGCACCAATCAGACAGACACAGCTCGACCACACAGGGCCACAGGACGTGTTACATGACAAGACGAAACATCATCACCATCATCGGAAACAAGAAATAAAACATAGCCTATCAATCCACTCACCTTCCTATATCTCATTCATTTTTCTAAGTCAGTTCTGAGCGTTTGTTTTGTTCACCCAGTAACCCAGTAGTCTTTACTTTGATGGTGGGCTACTTTTGATTACAACACTTAAAATGGACATTTGTACATTTTGTACATTTTTACATGTTTGTTGTGTCCTGTCCAATGATCTAACTTCATCTCTTTCTGTATATTTTATTTACGCCCAGTTTCTCTGTAAACTATTATGTTCCTATATGTGCAGCTACAAATCGCATTTGTTCCCGAGCATCTACCTGCTGTGGCGGGGCTAACACCGGGTTCGTCGGCGGAGGTTCCGAGTGGTTCTCCACGGCCTGTGCGTCTCTGCCTCCGGGGACCGCGTTGGAGAAAAGCCGCTTCTCCCCGGCAGCACCTCCGTCCAGCATGTCTCCGTTGTCCGGGCCAACCACGGTCTGCACCCCATCCCCGCCGGGCGCCGGTACCGCTCTGTCCCGGCTCATCACGGGCTGGACCGCGTCCGCCACGGGCCCTGCTACGGCTCTCTCTCGACTTATTACGGCCTGGACCCCGTCCGCTCCGGGCCCCGGTACCGCTCTGTCCCGGTTCATCCCTTTATTCTTCCTTTCCCATAGGCTGTAGCTACGTGTCCGGAATAAAATGCAGTTGCGGTGTACAATGAAAAAGATTTGGACAAACCGTTTTAAAGGGGCTGAATGAGACTCATGCCAAAATATTAACTTCACGCCACAGGCCGGTCAACATCCAATCTGAGGTGATGTTCTCAGCCCGTTAAAGTTTTCCATAGGTAAGAGTTTGGACAGATGACGGGGTTTAACTGGATTACCGGATGTGGTCCCGTAAAAGTTCAAACTTCTTCTCTTTTCCTTCTTCTCTCCGTCTCTTCCCCCTTCATCCTCCGCATCCACCGCGGCACCACAGCGTCTCCGGTGATCTAATGTCTGTCTGCCGTTGTCCCGGGTTGGCACACACACATAAACCGCGCTGGTCGTCCCGACCTCCAGCCTCGCGTGCTCTGTCTGGTCACCGGTGGGTGCGCGCTCTGGAAGCCTGACAGGAGTTGAAGGCGGGACGGACGCTGATCTATCTCCCTAATAGTTAAAACTAGCTCGCCCCCTCTCTCTCTCCCCCCATTAGTTAAGTGAAGCGCACCCCCCCACCCCCACCCCACCCCGCGCGCTCTCTTTCAGCCCGCACAGCTTCAACTCCTTTTTTGGTTTTTAGTCTCTATCATATAGCCTACTCACATATGCCTATGCGCGTGTGTACGTACGTGCCCGTCTCCCTCCTTATTTGTGTATTCCTATTCAATTCTACGAATTGTAATTGTCTACAAATTAATCCCACTTCCACTAATAGTCTATTATCTCGGGGCTACGCGCGCGGAGCGGTGCGGTCCGGGCCAGCACGAGGACAAACAGAGAGAGAGAGAGAGAGAGAGAGGGAGGGAGGGAGAGAGAGGCAGA